GACACCGTAACGAGGTGTGACACTGTAACGAGGTGTGACACTGTAACGAGGTGTGACACTGTAACGAGGTGTGACACTGTAACGAGGTGTGACACTGTAACGAGGTGTGACACTGTAACGAGGTGTGACACTGTAACGAGGTGTGACACTGTAACGAGGTGTGACACTGTAACGAGGTGTGACACTGTAACGAGGTGTGACACTGTAACGAGGTGTGACACTGTAACGAGGTGTGACACTGTAACGAGGTGTGACACCGTAACGAGGTGTGACACCGTAACGAGGTGTGACACCGTAACGAGGTGTGACACCGTAACGAGGTGTGACACCGTAACGAGGTGTGACACCGTAACGAGGTGTGACACCGTAACGAGGTGTGACACTGTAACGAGGTGTGACACTGTAACGAGGTGTGACACTGTAACGAGGTGTGACACTGTAACGAGGTGTGACACTGTAACGAGGTGTGACACTGTAACGAGGTGTGACACTGTAACGAGGTGTGACACTGTACACTGTAACGAGGTGTGACACTGTAACGAGGTGTGACACTGTAACGAGGTGTGACACTGTAACGAGGTGTGACACTGTAACGAGGTGTGACACCTGTAACGAGGTGTGACACCGTAACGAGGTGTGACACCGTAACGAGGTGTGACACCGTAACGAGGTGTGACACCGTAACGAGGTGTGACACTGTAACGAGGTGTGACACTGTAACGAGGTGTGACACTGTAACGAGGTGTGACACTGTAACGAGGTGTGACACTGTAACGAGGTGTGACACTGTAACGAGGTGTGACACTGTAACGAGGTGTGACACCGTAACGAGGTGTGACACCGTAACGAGGTGTGACACCGTAACGAGGTGTGACACCGTAACGAGGTGTGACACCGTAACGAGGTGTGACACCGTAACGAGGTGTGACACCGTAACGAGGTGTGACACCGTAACGAGGTGTGACACCGTAACGAGGTGTGACACCGTAACGAGGTGTGACACCGTAACGAGGTGTGACACCGTAACGAGGTGTGACACCGTAACGAGGTGTGACACCGTAACGAGGTGTGACACCGTAACGAGGTGTGACACCGTAACGAGGTGTGACACCGTAACGAGGTGTGACACCGTAACGAGGTGTGACACCGTAACGAGGTGTGACACCGTAACGAGGTGTGACACCGTAACGAGGTGTGACACCGTAACGAGGTGTGACACCGTAACGAGGTGTGACACCGTAACGAGGTGTGACACCGTAACGAGGTGTGACACCGTAACGAGGTGTGACACCGTAACGAGGTGTGACACCGTAACGAGGTGTGACACCGTAACGAGGTGTGACACCGTAACGAGGTGTGACACCGTAACGAGGTGTGACACCGTAACGAGGTGTGACACCGTAACGAGGTGTGACACCGTAACGAGGTGTGACACGTAACGAGGTGTGACACTGTAACGAGGTGTGACACTGTAACGAGGTGTGACACTGTAACGAGGTGTGACACTGTAACGAGGTGTGTGACACTGTAACGAGGTGTGACACTGTAACGAGGTGTGACACCGTAACGAGGTGTGACACCGTAACGAGGTGTGACACCGTAACGAGGTGTGACACCGTAACGAGGTGTGACACCGTAACGAGGTGTGACACCGTAACGAGGTGTGACACCGTAACGAGGTGTGACACCGTAACGAGGTGTGACACCGTAACGAGGTGTGACACCGTAACGAGGTGTGACACCGTAACGAGGTGTGACACCGTAACGAGGTGTGACACCGTAACGAGGTGTGACACCGTAACGAGGTGTGACACCGTAACGAGGTGTGACACCGTAACGAGGTGTGACACCGTAACGAGGTGTGACACTGTAACGAGGTGTGACACTGTAACGAGGTGTGACACTGTAACGAGGTGTGACACTGTAACGAGGTGTGACACTGTAACGAGGTGTGACACTGTAACGAGGTGTGACACTGTAACGAGGTGTGACACTGTAACGAGGTGTGACACCGTAACGAGGTGTGACACCGTAACGAGGTGTGACACCGTAACGAGGTGTGACACCGTAACGAGGTGTGACACCGTAACGAGGTGTGACACCGTAACGAGGTGTGACACCGTAACGAGGTGTGACACCGTAACGAGGTGTGACACCGTAACGAGGTGTGACACCGTAACGAGGTGTGACACCGTAACGAGGTGTGACACCGTAACGAGGTGTGACACCGTAACGAGGTGTGACACCGTAACGAGGTGTGACACTGTAACGAGGTGTGACACTGTAACGAGGTGTGACACTGTAACGAGGTGTGACACTGTAGCGAGGTGTGACACTGTAACGAGGTGTGACACCGTAACGAGGTGTGACACTGTAACGAGGTGTGACACTGTAACGAGGTGTGACACTGTAACGAGGTGTGACACCGTAACGAGGTGTGACACCGTAACGAGGTGTGACACTGTAACGAGGTGTGACACTGTAACGAGGTGTGACACTGTAACGAGGTGTGACACCGTAACGAGGTGTGACACTGTAACGAGGTGTGACACTGTAACGAGGTGTGACACTGTAACGAGGTGTGACACCGTAACGAGGTGTGACACCGTAACGAGGTGTGACACTGTAACGAGGTGTGACACTGTAACGAGGTGTGACACTGTAACGAGGTGTGACACCGTAACGAGGTGTGACACCGTAACGAGGTGTGACACTGTAACGAGGTGTGACACTGTAACGAGGTGTGACACTGTAACGAGGTGTGACACTGTAACGAGGTGTGACACTGTAACGAGGTGTGACACTGTAACGAGGTGTGACACTGTAACGAGGTGTGACACTGTAACGAGGTGTGACACTGTAACGAGGTGTGACACTGTAACGAGGTGTGACACTGTAACGAGGTGTGACACTGTAACGAGGTGTGACACCGTAACGAGGTGTGACACCGTAACGAGGTGTGACACCGTAACGAGGTGTGACACCGTAACGAGGTGTGACACCGTAACGAGGTGTGACACCGTAACGAGGTGACACCGTAACGAGGTGTGACACCGTAACGAGGTGTGACACTGTAACGAGGTGTGACACTGTAACGAGGTGTGACACTGTAACGAGGTGTGACACTGTAACGAGGTGTGACACTGTAACGAGGTGTGACACTGTAACGAGGTGTGACACCTGTAACGAGGTGTGACACTGTAACGAGGTGTGACACTGTAACGAGGTGTGACACTGTAACGAGGTGTGACACTGTAACGAGGTGTGACACTGTAACGAGGTGTGACACTGTAACGAGGTGTGACACTGTAACGAGGTGTGACACTGTAACGAGGTGTGACACTGTAACGAGGTGTGACACTGTAACGAGGTGTGACACTGTAACGAGGTGTGACACTGTAACGAGGTGTGACACTGTAACGAGGTGTGACACTGTAACGAGGTGTGACACTGTAACGAGGTGTGACACTGTAACGAGGTGTGACACTGTAACGAGGTGTGACACTGTAACGAGGTGTGACACTGTAACGAGGTGTGACACTGTAACGAGGTGTGACACTGTAACGAGGTGTGACACTGTAACGAGGTGTGACACTGTAACGAGGTGTGACACTGTAACGAGGTGTGACACTGTAACGAGGTGTGACACTGTAACGAGGTGTGACACTGTAACGAGGTGTGACACTGTAACGAGGTGTGACACTGTAACGAGGTGTGACACTGTAACGAGGTGTGACACTGTAACGAGGTGTGACACTGTAACGAGGTGTGACACTGTAACGAGGTGTGACACTGTAACGAGGTGTGACACCGTAACGAGGTGTGACACCGTAACGAGGTGTGACACCGTAACGAGGTGTGACACCGTAACGAGGTGTGACACCGTAACGAGGTGTGACACCGTAACGAGGTGTGACACCGTAACGAGGTGTGACACCGTAACGAGGTGTGACACCGTAACGAGGTGTGACACCGTAACGAGGTGTGACACCGTAACGAGGTGTGACACCACACCGTAACGAGGTGTGACACCGTAACGAGGTGTGACACCGTAACGAGGTGTGACACCGTAACGAGGTGTGACACCGTAACGAGGTGTGACACCGTAACGAGGTGTGACACCGTAACGAGGTGTGACACCGTAACGAGGTGTGACACCGTAACGAGGTGTGACACCGTAACGAGGTGTGACACCGTAACGAGGTGTGACACCGTAACGAGGTGTGACACCGTAACGAGGTGTGACACCGTAACGAGGTGTGACACCGTAACGAGGTGTGACACCGTAACGAGGTGTGACACCGTAACGAGGTGTGACACCGTAACGAGGTGTGACACCGTAACGAGGTGTGACACCGTAACGAGGTGTGACACCGTAACGAGGTGTGACACCGTAACGAGGTGTGACACCGTAACGAGGTGTGACACCGTAACGAGGTGTGACACCGTAACGAGGTGTGACACCGTAACGAGGTGTGACACCGTAACGAGGTGTGACACCGTAACGAGGACGTAACGAGGTGTGACACCGTAACGAGGTGTGACACCGTAAACGAGGTGTGACACCGTAACGAGGTGTGACACCGTAACGAGGTGTGACACCGTAACGAGGTGTGACACCGTAACGAGGTGTGACACCGTAACGAGGTGTGACACCGTAACGAGGTGTGACACCGTAACGAGGTGTGACACCGTAACGAGGTGTGACACCGTAACGAGGTGTGACACCGTAACGAGGTGTGACACCGTAACGAGGTGTGACACCGTAACGAGGTGTGACACCGTAACGAGGTGTGACACCGTAACGAGGTGTGACACTGTAACGAGGTGCTGCCTCACACACAGATGCCCTCGCCTTACTCTCTCCCCCTCTCCGATCCGTTGTTGTATCCTCCCTATACGCTCCTCTCTCCCATCGCTCCTCACTCCTCGCTCCTCACTCCTCGCTCCTCTCTCCTCTCTCCGCTCATCCCCCTCTTGCAATGCTAATACTCCTGACGATGGTTCCAAGTCCCCTGTTCCCTTCACCCGCCCCCACCCCAACCACCCACGGCCCCCCGTCGTCCCCCTCTTTCCCATTTCCCTCCACAGCTGCCGTCTCTTATGTTCCCCCATCCTTGCCCTTTTCCCTCCCCTTCTCCTCCCCCATCCTCCCCCATACTCCCTCATCCTCCCCATCCTCTCCCATCCTCCTCCGTCCTCCCTCGTCCCCCTCCCCAATTCGTTATCCCTTCCACCACTCTCCCCCCCCAATCCCCCCCAATCAGCGCAGAGTTTCCAGTTCTGAGGTGCCTCAAAAGATGCAGAGTCTCCAGTGCGTGGAAGGCCCTTGCTTTCCTCTCCTCCTCATCCTCCCACCCTCCCTGTCCCAATCCCCCCCCCCCTCCCCCTCTCCCCACTTCCCCTCCTCCCCCTTCCCTCCATTCCCCCCCCTTAATCCTCCCCCAACCAGTGCAGAGTTTCCCAGTGCGTGGCAGGCCCTTGCCTCTCTCCCGCAACCCCTCGGCCAACCAGAATTGACCACGTGGCACCCCCTCCCCCTCGAAGAGCTAAAGGGGGGGAAGGGGGAGCATGGGGAACAGGGGGAGCTTGGGGGGAATGGGGCGGTGGAGCAGCAGAGAGGGGAGGAGTGGGGGGAGGTGGTGGGGGGAGGGCAGAGGGGCAGCATGGGGCAGCAGCGGTACTGCACCTATGTGGACGAGTTTGTGAAGGCAGGGCGAGGGGATGAGGTGGGTGATATGCGGTGCTGTACAGTGGTGTGTGGCTGTGTGCAGTACAGTGCGGTGCTGTGTGGCTGTGTGTGTATGGGCGGGTGTGAGTGCTGCACTGGCAAAGGAAAGAAAGGTAGCATGGGGCAGCAACGCTACTGCACCTACGTGGATGAGTTTGTGAAGGCAGGGCGAGGGGATGAGGTGGGTGCTGTACGGTGCTATGGATGTATTTCTGGGTGCTGTGCGGTGCTATGGATGTATTTCTGGGTGCTGTGCGGTGCTATGGATGTATTTCTGGGTGCTGTGCGGTGCTATGGATGTATTGCTGGGTGCTCAGGGTGTTGTGCTGACCCACGTTGGGGCAGCATGACCAAGAAGCATCGTTCCTGCACTGCAGGCCTCTTCCCTTACGCCCAACCACTCCTGCCCCCGGCCATTCCCCAACCGTCGTCCTCCATTTCACCCAACCCCATAGTCTTCCCTTCCCCCCTTTCGTCTTCCTCTCCTCACCACCCCCTTTTTTTCTCCTGCGCAGCCCACTCAACAATCACTTTCCCCATCCCACCCCGCTTCCCCCCTCTCTCCCCCTTTTCCCCCTCTCTCTCCCCTTTTCCTCCTCCTGCCAGCCATCACTCGCCTCCCTGCCGCCCGCCGCCCCGATTCTTCGAAAGCTCATTCTCAGTGCATGCCCGTCCATCGATGGGGCTGGCGTCTTTCGGCCGTATCTTAAGGTTGGTCGGCATCGGTTGTCTGTAATGGGGAGATTGTGGATGGAGTGATGGGGAGAGTGTGGAGTGTGAAGGGTGTGGAGTGCGAGCGGAGTGTGTAGTGACGGGGAGAGTGTGTGCACTCCGCTCTTTTCATGCATGCGCAGTGATGCATGCATGCTTGAAGTAGCGTCACATCCTTGTGCCGAGCCGAGCAAGCCGTTCACATGCACATACATGTAACATGCAAGCCGTTCACATGCACATACATGCAACATGCAAGCCGTTCACATGCACATACATGTAACATGCAAGCCGTTCACATGCACATACATGTAACATGCAAGCCGTTCACATGCACATACATGTAACATGCAAGCCGTTCACATGCACATACATGTAACATGCAAGCCGTTCACATGCACATACATGTAACATGCAAGCCTTTCACATGCACATAAATGTAACATGCAAGCCGTTCACATGCACATACATGTAACATGCAAGCCGTTCACATGCACATACATGTAACATGCAAGCCGTTCACATGCACATACATGTAACATGCAAGCCGTTCACATGCACATACATGTAACATGCAAGCCGTTCACATGCACATACATGTAACATGCAAGCCGTTCACATGCACATACATGTAACATGCAAGCCGTTCACATGCACATACATGTAACATGCAAGCCGTTCACATGCACATACATGTAACATGCAAGCCGTTCACATGCACATACATGTAACATGCAAGCCGTTCACATGCACATACATGTAACATGCAAGCCGTTCACATGCACATACATGTAACATGCAAGCCGTTCACATGCACATACATGTAACATGCAAGCCGTTCACATGCACATACATGTAACATGCAAGCCGTTCACATGCACATACATGTAACATGCAAGCCGTTCACATGCACATACATGTAACATGCAAGCCGTTCACATGCACATACATGTAACATGCAAGCCGTTCACATGCACATACATGTAACATGCAAGCCGTTCACATGCACATACATGTAACATGCAAGCCGTTCACATGCACATACATGTAACATGCATGCTGTGTGAACTCATGACTGTGAGCAGGTGTTTTGGAGGGGAGGGAGAGGGAGTGAGGAGCAGTGTTTTTCCTGGGGGTGATTTAAAGGTTTCTTAATGGTCGTCTGATAACCCGTTGACAACCCATGCTGTGTGCTGCTATCCCGTCTGGTGTTTCCGCTTGGCTGTGGGCAGGTGTTTCGGAGGGGAGCAGAAGTGAGCAGCAGTGTCTTGCCTGGGGAGGTGAGATGTTGGGAGAATAAGGGATGGGGTAGATGGGGAAACAAGGGGGCAGATGGGGAAACAAGGGGGCAGATGGGAAAACAAGGGGGCAGATGGGGAAACAAGGGGGCAGATGGGGAAACAAAGGGGTAGATGGGAAAACAAGGGGGCAGATGGGGAAACAAAGGGGTAGATGGGAAAACAAGGGGGCAGATGGGGAAACAAAGGGGTAGATGGGAAAACAAGGGGGCAGATGGGGAAACAAAGGGGTAGATGGGAAAACAAGGGGGCAGATGGGGAAACAAGGGGGCAGATGGGGAAACAAAGGGGTAGATAGGAAAACAAGGGGGCAGATGGGGAAACAAGGGGGCAGATGGGGAAAGGGTCAGCCTGGATGGTTTCCTTTGAGGTCAGCGCCCTGTGTGGGGGGACTGACTGTGCTTTCCCCTCTTCCCCATTCCCCCCATCCCAATTCCCCCTTTCCCATTCCCCCCTCTCTCACGCACGTACCTCCAGGTGCCGCCCTCCTTCCCTACTGGTTCAGCGTGGATGGTTCCCTTCGAGGTCAACTCCCCTGTGTGGGGCGACTGTGCCTTGCCCCCTTCTTCAATCCACCCTCCCCCATTCCCCCTTTCCCCATTCCCCGCATCCCCCCTGCAAACCACCAGGTGCCGCCCTCCTTCCCTACTGGCTCAGCCTGGATGGTGCCCTTCGAGGTCAACGCCCCTGTACCTTTGCCCCCGTTCCCCATCACCCCCAATCTCCAGGTTCCTCCTTCCTTCCCCACGGGGTCAGCCTGGATGGCGCCCTTTGAGGTCAACGCCCCTGTGTGGGGCGACTGGCTATGCCTGCCCCCCTTCCCCATCGCCCCATTCCCCCCTTCCCCACTCCCCACCCTCCCCACCCGCGTACCACCAGGTGCCGCCCTCCTTCCCCACGGGCTCAGCCTGGATGGTGCCCTTCGAGGTCAACGCCCCTGCGTGAACCTTATTGCCCCTCTGCTGTTCCCCCCAATCTCATCCACTCCCCCGTTCCCCCTCATCCTGCCCGCATACCACCAGGTGCCGCCCTCCTTCCCTACGGGCTCAGCCTGGATGGTGCCCTTCGAGGTCAACGCCCCTGTGTGGGGCGACTGTGCCTTCGCTGTGCACCAATGGACAGGTGACATCTGGACAGGTCTAGGTAGCATCTGGGTTTTGAGATGCCTCAGAATGGTGTGTGGGGCGACTGTGCCTTTGCCGTGCACCACTGGACAGGTAGCATTTGGGGGGGAGGTAGTACCGGGGGAGGTTGCATGGGCATCATGTTTTGAGACGTCTTAAAATGGTGTGTGGGGCGACTGTGCCTTTGCCGTGCACCACTGGACAGGTAGCATTTGGGGGGAAGGTAGTACTGGGGGAGGTTGCATGGGCATCATGTTTTGAGACGTCTCAAAATGGTGTGTGGGGCGACTGTGCATTTGCCGTGCATCTCTGGACAGGCGACGTGTGGGGTGGGGTGGGGAGGTAGCTTTTGGGGATGTAGCATCGCGGGATGTAGCATTTGGGCAGGTATTTTCTTTTCTGACAGGTAGCACCTAAGGAGGGAGAACCGAGACAGGTGGCATCTAGGCTAATACTACCTGCAAATGTCATTTGCTTTGCAAGGTGAATGTGCCTTTGCTGTACACAAGTGGACAGGTAATCCCCACGGGTGGAGGAGCTGAATCGCTAGGTAGCATTCTGAAATGATGGGGTTTGAGATGTCTTGTATTCCTACCTGTCAGGAATCTGCAGCAGGGCCCAGAGCATTCCTGTGTTTGCATGGGCGATTGTTTTATTAGTCGACCAAAGAAGCACCAGCAGGGTCGAAAGCAATCCTGTGTTTGCGTGTGTTTCTCTGAGTCGATTCAACTTCACCTCAGGTCGTTTCTCTCTCAACGCCCCCATCCCCTAACCCCCTCCTTCTCCCAGGCAACAGCAGCAGGGACGAGAGCGAACCCGTGTTTGTCTTTGCGTTCCATTCAGCCTTCCTACGCATCGGCCTCACCAGAATAACCCTGCACGAGGTAACACTTGAATGCAGCTCCACCAGATAACACCTTCCCAGAGTTGCCCGCCTCTTCCCCTAGAGCATTGGCCTCACCTGAATAACTTCTCACGAGATAACCCCTGAATAGCCCGCCACGAGGTAACACCTGGATCACCTCCCTTCGTCCTGAATCACCTGAATTGAGGACTCCTGACACTCTTGTGTGTTTGTCTTTGCCTTCCACCCGGCATTCCGACGCCTCGGCCTCACCCGCCTGCAGAACCCTTCACAATATTACATCTGAGTAAACATCATCTCTCTTCCCTTCCCCCCCACCACACACCAGCTCGACTGTGCGTACGGGGGAGACATCCAAGTGCCTGCAGACTTTTTCATTGATGTGCTGATAGAGATGCCGCGGCCACGTGGCGACGCGCCATTGGCCGACGCCCACTCCGACGGCACGCCAGCTGGCACGATGCTGACGTGGCAGCAGCTGCTGGCGGCGTACCGGGACGACTTCATGGAAGCTTCCAGGAAGCAGCGGATGGCCCAAGGGAGGGAAGAGACGAGGCTGGGGAGAGCAGAGGCAGAGAGGAGTGAGTGGACGGGAGGGGAAGGAGTGAAGGAAAGGGGTAGCAGCACTTTCACACTGAATCAGCAAGTACAGGAACGTTTGAAACCGGAGATTTCTCGAATTTCTCTCGCAATGGAAGCAGTAGATGGGAGGGACAGGAGGGATGAGGTGGGGGATGAGAGGAGGAGTCTGGCTCGCAGTTTGGTGACAGAGGTGCAGGCACACCCTCTCCTGCGCCACACAGGACAAGCAAGCCACCCGGGCATGCTGTCTGTGCCGCCCATGCCGCCCGGAACGGCGTTCATGTCGCCTGAAGTGCCGTCCTCTCAATACGACCTCCCTCCCACTCCCACAACGCCCCACATGCCTCCCTCCCCCCACTCACCCCTTCCCCAACTTCCATCCCTTCCCGAAGATTTCAGCCCATACCATTCCCCCTCTGCTCCTCATTTCTCCTCCACTCCTTCTCCTGCCACATTCCCACTCCCTGGCGGCCGGCCCTCCCTCGTGAATCGACCGTTTGAGTCCACTCACACAACTCCTGCTGCAGAACCCCCCTCTCAGGAGCTCGACTCGCTAGCTGATCTGCTCATTCGCATGTCCCTCTCCACAGGCTCACGGCACAGCATGGGGGGTGCGGCCCTGAAGGGGGGCGAACGGCATGGAAGGGGGCTTGGGGGTTCAAAGGCGGGGGAAAGGCATGGCATGGAGGGTAAGGGTGTTCAGGTGGAGGGTGTGGGCTTTGAGCATGGGGAGGAGAGGCACAGGAGGAGGGGTGGAGCTGTGGGGGAGGGGAGCACAGGGGATGCTGAGGGGATAAGTGGGGAGGGGAGTGTGGGTGGCGCAGTGGGGATGGGGGAAGAGAGGCAAAGCATGGGAAATGGGAGAGCCTTTGTGAGCGCCATAGGTGGAAAGGAGAAGAGCAGGGGGGGTGGGGATGTGATGGGAGGGGGGGGAGAAGACATGGGGGACGGGAAGGGCATGGGGGGTGGGGATGTGAGGGAAGTGATGGAGGGGAGAGAAGCAGGAGGAGAGTGGAGAGCAGGGGCAGGTGGAGCAAAAGGGGATCACTTGAGAGCAAGTGCTACTTGTCCTGCCGGCCACACGACAAGAGGAACAGAACCACTTGCTTCTGAACCGTTCTCTTTGTCATCTTCAACACCAGCAACACTATCATCATCGTCTAGAGCAGCAGCAGGAGCAGCAGCGGAGGCACGTCCTCCTCCTCCCTCCTCCCCCCCTCCCAAAACCATACCCGTTCAACCTACCCAAGGTTACCCTCCTCCCCCAACCCCCCCTCCGCCTCCCCCTCCCCCACCCTCCGGCCGTCCCCCCCCTCCCCCTCCCCCTATCCGCCTAGCCTCAGGCAAACTGGCTGCGCCTGGGATGGGGGAACAGCAGGGGGAAGGGGAGGGGCAAAGGGCGGACGGGGAAGGGGACCTTTTTCCCCCTGCCCGCCCTTTACACTGGTCCAAAGTGACTAATGTGAAGGGGACAGTATGGGAGGAGATAGAGAGAGAGGGTGCGGTTAAGAAGGAGAGAGAAGAGACAAGGGGTGATGGGGGAAGCAAGGGGAATAGTGTGCTTGTATCGAAGGTGACACTACCAGATGACATGAGACGAGCCATCCGGGTGCTTTTTCAGGTGAAAGCAACAAAGCCAGGGGGGAAGTCGAAGGCAGGAGGAGGGTTGCAAGGGGAAGGGGGAGGCATGGGGGGGAGGAAAGGATTAGGGAAGGATGAGTTACAAGTTGTTGGTTTGGCTCGCGCTAACAATGTCGCCATTATGCTGACGCAATTCCGCATGCCCGAGAATCAAATCCGGGATTTGATCCTGGCAGGAGATCCCAAGCACGTGCTGCCACCTGACCGCCTGGGCCTGCTGCTTCAGGTGATTCCAACAGAGGAGGAGGCGGCGAGGTTCAGAGCAGTCTCAGGTGCTGCTTCAGGTGCCATGTGTGCTCCTGAGCGTTTCCTCTGGTCTATATCTCTGATTCCGAGAATGAGGAGGAAAATCGAGGCGCTAATGTTTGTGCGGCATTTCCACACCATAGTCAACGATGCCCGGGCAGTCATAAAAGTTTTCTGTTCTGCTGCCCGCGCGATCCGCAGCAGCAAGGTTCTCCGGGCAGCGCTGGCAGCGGCGCTTGAAGTGGGGAACGAGCTCAACCGAGGCAGCGTGAGGGGTGAGTTGTGATGAAGAGGGTTGAGTCGCGGTGAAGAGGTTTGAGAGGGATTGGAGAGGGCTGAGATGGGAATCCTAGGTCTATTATGGGAAGCATTGGGGGTTAAGTGGCCAGGATGAGAATGGCAGGCAGGGAAAGAGAAAATAAGCTCCCGTTAAAAAACCCCCACATACGTCACTCTCTCACCCCCTTCCCACCCTTCTCTCCCCCGCCTCCTTCCCCCCTAAATCCCAGGTTCGGCCCGCGGATTCTCTCTTGACTCCCTTGCTCGCCTGTCAGAAGTGCGAGTCACTCCTCCGTCCCACCGCACCAAGGGCCTCAACACACTGTTGACCGCCGCCCAGGTGCCTTCTGAGTCGACTCAAAAGTTAAACCCCTCCCAGATTCTGCCTCCTCCTGGCTCTCGATTCTCGCGCACACAGTCCTTCCCTGTCATACGCGCCACTGCCCCCTCCTCCTCCTCTTCCACCTCCTCCTCCTCCTTGTCGTCCTCCTCCCCTTCCCCGTTTTCCTCCTCTTCCTCCTCCTCCTCTCGTCCCTCCTCCCCGTTCCCCACATCCTCAACCCTCGCTGCCACCACACCCGCAGCCTCCCCTTTCCCTTCCCACCCATCCCAACCGTCTCATCCTCCTCCCCTGATCGCCCGTGCGACAACGCTTCTCGACGTGGTTGTGATTATAACGAGGGGAATGGAGAGGAGGGGAGAGGAGGAAGCAGGGGAAGTGGGGAGCAGCCTTTTGGGAAGTTCAGTCAGAAACAAGAGAGGAGAGGGGGGAGAAGGGAGGAGAGGGAAGCTGACAGTAGATCTGGCAGCAGTAGGGGAGGCCGTTAGGATGTCCCAGGCTGACGTGGCGGATGCCACGTCAGCACTGGACACTGGCCTGCGATTGGTGGATGAGGAGGTGCGGCTTCTGCAGCAGGAGAGAGAAGCGGCAGGGCTGAAGGAGGGGGAGGGGGAGCAGGAGGAGGAGGAAGAAGAGGGGAAGGAGAGGGAGGAGGGAGAGGGGAAGGGGCACGATAGCAAGGGTGAGGTGGAGAGGCAGTGGAAAGGGAAGGGGGCAGGGGAGGGCGGGCTGATGACTGTGTTGGCAGAGTTCAGATTGAATGCAAGGAAGGAGAGGGAGGAACTGGCCACGGATGCTGAGGAGTGCAGGTGAGCACAATGCGCTGCTGTGGGAGTTGCATATGGCTGTTAGGAGTGTAGTATTCACTGTATAAATTGTTGTCATCCGTAGTAGTGTAGCGTACATACTTCCAATTTCGCAACATCCGTGTGTCAACGTCTTGGTGAACTTGGTGCGCGCATTGGCATTCTCTCTGTCCTACCTTTCCTCCCATCAGATCAACGCTTCGACAGCTGGCATGCTACCTTGGAGAGTCAAAACCCCAACCGTCGACATCAGATGTAATACCCCTCCCTCGTTAAATTGTTCACCAACCTTCAACACACAACTATTCATTCAAATTGTTTCTTGGCACTCTTTCCTTGACATCCCGACTTTCAAGTTTTGTTTGACATTTGCCACGGGGAGTTTTCCTGTGCAGGCGCTGTTTGCATCGCTGTGGTCGTTCGCCACTCTCTTTGATCGAGCACAAGCAGCACTTGACATGTGACACATCCACAACCTTACCCTTGACGACTCACTTAACTATGACTGCTGCTGACGGCAACACGTTGGCCCTCACACGAAGAATAGATTAGAGTTCTGATCAGTGGTGTGGTGGAAAGCACTTTCAGGCGTCATATAGAGCAGACATACTTGGGCCGAACTGCTGAGGCATTTCCTGGGCTGCACGGCTATGCATCTTAATTTTCTTCTCAGTATTACGAGTTCAACTTGACTCGGGCTAAACAACAGCTAAAGAACAAGACGAATAGCCAGGTATTGTTTATTGATTGTTTACTCTGATATGGTTGCACGTGTTTCAGCACAGGCGTTTGTAGCTCCTCTCGGACCATCTCGTGACGAATCTCGTCTTGGTCTGCGGTTATAACGAGCTGTGACGAACATAACCTGAAACCTAGGCTAGACCTGGTTGAAGGGCTGGGCTATTGGAGGCTCACCGTGCTGCCTGGTTTGTCTGGCTTGTTTGTCCGCATCCCCAATCACCGAGGGGGACGAAGCTTCAGTTCCTAGCCAAACTGCGCACAGCGGACCGCTATAACCCTGGGCGCGACTCGATTCAAAATGCACCCACGGGGGAGTCAGTCAGAAGAATGCCAGCCAGGGCTGGGCCACGGAACTTTGACATTTCTCGCCCCCATTTGCACGATAAATGCGCAAGAGCAAGCACATTGCAAACAGACCAATTCGAAGCAACTCCAACCAATTCCAACTCGGCCACCCAACTCGGCTCAACAATCTCACGTCAACCATCCCCAACCTCACAAGACTTCAAGCAATGGCTATCATCAACGATTGTTCACGGAAATCGAAGTCGACGCAACAGATCGCATCGGACGGGGACATTGAATCAGGAAAATCCTCTTTCTCAGCTCCAGACGCCTCGCTTCCCGTTTCCTCGTCGCCTCCTCAGACGTCGCTTTCCCTATTTTGCTGCGCGCCTCCTCTTGCGAGGAACGCAGTTTCCGCAAGTGGCAGCGCCGATGAGGAAAACCCGGGAGAGTTCACCGCGGTTTACCCTTCCGATTTGCACATCGCCAACCCTAAAGAAGTAACCAGCACTGCAGTCGAAACAGAGAAGCTTCGCAAGGACGAGAAGGATCGCCAGAGGCGTCGTCGCCGGACCTGCTGCTGCCGCGTCGCATGCTGGTCGCTCATCGTCCTCGCCGTCGTTATCGTCGGATTCGGCGTCGCAGGGCTCGTCGCATACCTGACAGTCTCGAAGCAACAGCCGGAGGTGAAGGTCGAGCAAATCAACATCCTCCGCGTCGGCATCACAAAATCCGGCGGCGGGTTCCTGGGCCTCGAAAACTTCCGCCTGGGCCTATCCGCGTTAATAAACGTCACCGCGCTCGTGTATAACCCCAACAACTGGGACGTGGAAGCGGAAAACATCAGCGTGGACGTAAAATTCTTCGACATGAATGTTACAAATGTGACCATCCCTGGCGTCGTGGGCATGAGCAAGGGTGGGAGCGCGCAGTTGACTGTCCCCCTTGATATTGTCGACGCGCCCCTGGCGACGCTGAGTCCCGCGAGCCTGCTGACGACGCCGCTGCTGCATGGGCGCGCGGAAATGCGAGTGGTGGTTGGCACTGCAGCGCGCGTGAAATACTGGGGCATCTCGTCGCCGCGCGTCATGGTGCATGTGGAATGCACGATGCAGCTGGACCCGTTTTCCGCTAAGAAGTACAACGAGCAGTGTACACCCAGCGTCTCACTGTGAAAGGAGCACTAGCAGTGTAGGTTTTAGGAATACCGTAGGCGTCGGCATACTCCCTCAGGGCATATTCCTGACTTTGTGTCAGTCCCTGGCACAGGGTTTCACACAAATTCAGGAATGCGCCCCCTTTGTTTTGTACTTCTTGGTGTTTTATTACTTTCCATGATTAAACTATTGAGCCTATCGAGAGATGCCCTGGAATTTCACGAGCAGCCTAAACCCTCACTGCCACCACTCCCGCAGCCTCCCCTTCCCCTTTCCATCCTCCCCCCCTGATCGCCCGTGCAACAACGCTCCTCAGATGTGGTGGAGATGGAGGGGAAGCGGCCGTTGGGGCGTTTCATCCAGGTCTGAGGGAGGAGAGGAGGGGGCGGAGAAAGACGGAAGTAGCCGTTCAGGCAGTTCAGCGGGTAAAGAGGGAAGCTGCGGTTTGGTCAGTGCAGTCGAAGAGGGAGGAAGAGTGGAAGAGGGAGCTGGCAGGGGAGGGAAGCGGCGTTTTGGGCAGGGAGGAGAGGACGGAGCAGGGGGTGGAGGGCAACGATCTATTTGGCAGGGGGGAGAGGCGAGAGCAGGGGGTGGAGGGAAGCTGTCTATTGGGCAGGGAAGAGAGGCGTGAACTGGGGGTGCAGGGAAGCTGACAGTGGAGCTGGCAGTAGTGGGTGACGCCGTTAGGACGTCCCAAGCTGACGTGGCGGATGCCACGTCAGCACTCGTCACTGGCCTGCGATTGGTGGATGAGGAGGTGCGGGTTCTGCAGCAGGAGAGAGAAGAGGAGAGGCTGCAGGAGGGGGAGGAGGAGGAGAAGCACTAGGAGGGGGAAAGGGAGGAGGGACAGGTAGTGGGGACAGGAGGAGGGACAGGTAGTGGGGACAGGAGGAGGGACAGGTAGTGGGGACAGGAGGAGGGACAGGTAGGGGGGACAGGGGGAGGGACAGGGGAGGGGCGGCATGATCGCAAGGGTGAGGTGGAGAGGCAGCGGAAGGGGAAGGCAATAAGGGAGGGTGGGATGCTGGCGGTGCTGGCAGAGTTCAGATTGAATGCAAGAAAGGAGAGGGAGGAACTGGCCAAGGATGCTGAAGAGTGCAGGTGAGCACATGCTGCTGCTGTGGGAGTGGTGTACTGCCACGTGCATGTGGCTGTTGGGAATGTAGCATTCACTACTACATACATCTCTTTTTGGTACATGCCTTAGTATTCTGAATGGCTGCCTTCTCTCACGTCAGGTCAATGCTTCGACAGCTGGTGTGCTACCTAGGAGAGTCAAAACCCCAACCCTCAACATCAGATGTAAGCATCAACCTTCAACAAACAAATATGCCAGTACCTTCAATGTGTTTCTTTACACTCTTTCATCAATTCACCCACATTCTAGTTTTGCTTGGCATTCGGCACTGGGTGGTTTCATGTGCAGGCACCCTAACACGAAGAATAGTGTAGAGCTTTGATGAGCTGTATGTAGGAGGCATAATTTGTAGGCATCTTCATAGAGTCTACATCTTGAGCTGAACCGATGAATCAATTTATGAGTTTCACGGCACGAAATTTATCTGGCAACACTATGAGTTCGACTTAACCCAGGCTCAACAGCTAAAGAACAAGTAAAAGAGCCAGATTATTGATTGTTTACTCTCTTATGGTTCTACGTTTTTCGGCCCATATGTATGGTATCTCCTATCGAAGTACCTCGTGACGAATCTTGTCTTGGTGTGGATGTAGATGAACCCTGACGAACGTAATCTGGAACCTAGGCTAGGTTTAGGTCTGGGCTATAAGAGGCTCACCGAGCCATGCTGCCTGGTTTGTCTGGCTCGTTTGTCCGCATCTGCCCAATCACCGAAGGAGACGAAGCTTCAATTCCCTGGCAGACCGCGGACAGCGGACCGCTATTACCCGGGCGCGACTCGATTCAAAATGCCAGGGTGGGGCCACGAACTTTGACATTTCTCGCCCCGATGTGCACGATAAACACGGGAGAGCAGAGGCATTGCAAACACAAATCGAAGCAACTCCACTTCCCATTTCAGCCTTAAAGCCCAAGACCTGAATTACTCAACGAAAGTCAATGCTAAAAGTTAGGTTCGGGAGGCAGGCACGGAGAGGTTCGGTTGGGTTGCGAGAGACTTTCACTCGCGAAACCAATTTGCGACAAAAGTTTCTCGCTTCCCATAATGGGTGGGGTCCTTCCCACAACCAGAAAAGCGCGAGCATACCAAACTGTGCACAGTTTGAGATAGCATGCAGAGTATTAGGCATAGACCATACCTGTAGACAGGGCAGGGCGTCGGCGTTCACTCAAAAGGGATCAGATGCGCCTTACGATGTCGGTGGCGCGGATTCGATGACGGCGCGCAAAGCTAGTGTTCGCTGGGTGAAGATTTCTGTGTCAAAATGCAGGTTATTGTGCAACTACACCGTAGCGTAAACTCGCGGCGAAAATCGAATCGCAACCGTTCGCCCAAACGTGACCCTACCCTCGCACTTGCTTTCCTTTCCCACGCTTCCGCTCTCTGTCGCCCGCGTCGTCGCCATCGCTTCCGCAGCTCGTCGCGTTCGCGACCCCAGCCCGTCGCCTTCGCTCCGCCCGTCGCCTTCACTTCCCCCCCGTCGCCTTCACTTCTTCCCCGTCACCTTCCCTCCTCCCCCTCCCCCCCCTCTTCCCCCGCCTTCATTTCCCCTTCCCGTCGCCTTCACTTCCTCCTCCCTTCGCCTTCACTTCCTCCTCCCTTTGCCTTCACTTCCTCCTCCCTTCGCCTTCACTTCCTCCTCCCTTCGCCTTCACTTCCTCCTCCCTTCGCCTTCACTTCCTCCTCCCTTTGCCTTCACTTCCTCCTTCCTTCGCCCTCACTTCCTCCTTCCTTCGCCTTCACTCCCCCCTCCCGTCGCCTTCATTTCCCCCTCCCGTCGCCTTCATTTCCCCATTCACGCTCTCTTTCCCTCCCTTCCGCCCGCTGCCCCCCTTCGTCTCGTCGCCCTCCCTGCCGCTCGTCGCACTCGCTCCCGCTCGTCCCCTCGCAATCCCCGTCTCTCTCTCCCCCCGTCGCCCTCGGTTTCCCCGTCGCCCTCCCTTCCTCTCGTCGTTGCCCTCGCCATCCCTCCCTTCTCCCTTCCCATCTCGCACACTTGTCACTCCCCCTTTCCAACCCACACATACACCCTTCCCTTCTTCCCTGTTCCCCCCCATCTCCATCCCTGTTCCCCCCCATCTCCATCCCTGTTCCCCCCCATCTCCATCCCTGTTCCCCCCCATCTCCATCCCTGTTCCCCCCCATCTCCATCCCTGTTCCCCCCCATCTCCATCCCTGTTCCCCCCCATCTCCATCCCTGTTCCCCCCCATCTCCATCCCTGTTCCCCCCCATCTCCATCCCTGTTCCCCCCCATCTCCATCCCTGTTCCCCCCCATCTCCATCCCTGTTCCCCCCCATCTCCATCCCTGTTCCCCCCCATCTCCATCCCTGTTCCCCCCCATCTCCATCCCTGTTCCCCCCCATCTCCATCCCTATTCCCCCCCATCTCCATCCCTGTTCCCCCCCATCTCCATCCCTGTTCCCCTTCCCTGCTCCCCCCCGTCCCCTTCCCTCCTTCTCCCCGTCCCCTTCCCTTCCTCCCCCCATCCCCTTCCCTGCTTCCCCCCTTCCCCTTCCCTGCTTCCCCCCGTCCCCTTCCCTCCTTCCCCCCGTCCCCTTCCCTCCTTCCCCCCGTCCCCTTTCCTGCCTCCCCCCATCCCCTTCCCTGCTTCCCCTTCATCCCCTTCCCTGCTTCCCCCATTCCCCTTCCCTGCTTCCCCCCGTCCCCTTCCCTCCTTCCCCCCGTCCCCCTCCCAGCATCCCCCCATCCCCTTCCCTAAACCCCCCCATCCCCTTCCCTGCTTCCCCCCATCCCCTTCCCTGCTTTCCCCCATCCCCTTCCCTGCTTCCCCCCATCCCCTTCCCTGCTCACCCTTGCTCCCTCTGTTTCACCCTTGCTCCCCCTGTTCACCCTTGCTCCCTCTGAATCACCCTTGCTCCCTCTGAATCACCCTTGCTCCCTCTGAATCACCCTTGCTCCCTCTGAATCACCCTTGCTCCCTCTGAATCACCCTTGCTCCCTCTGAATCACCCTTGGTCCCTCTGAATCACCCTTGCTCCCTCTGAATCACCCTTGCTCCCTCTGAATCACCCTTGCTCCCTCTGAATCACCCTTGCTCCCTCTGAATCACCCTTGCTCCCTCTGAATCACCCTTGCTCCCTCTGAATCACCCTTGCTCCCTCTGAATCACCCTTGCTCCCTCTGAATCACCCTTGCTCCCTCTGAATCACCCTTGCTCCCTCTGAATCACCCTTGCTCCCTCTGAATCACCCTTGCTCCCTCTGTTTCACCCTTGCTCCCCCTGTTCACCCTTGCTCCCTCTGAATCACCCTTGCTCCCTCCCCTTCTTCTCTTCTCACTCTCTTCCCCCTTGCTCACTCTCTTTACTTCTGCTCACTCTGTTCCCCCCTGCTTCCTCTCTTCCCCTCTGTTCAATCTGTCCCCCGCTGCTTCTTCTCTTCCCCTCTGCTCATTCCGTTTGCTGTCATTCCCCCTTCACTCACCACCATACCCCCAAATGCAGTTACAGGTGCCCAGCACCAGATGTGGCTTTACCACTGCCTGGATTATTGCTTGGAGTGTAGCAGTCAAAACCGGGAAGCAACATTGCACGCACACCCCCTAGCATTGTTCCCTACTCGAGTGGAGTGATTCCCCTTAATTTACAGATATGGTAATATAATAATTGTTGAACTCCTTGGTATTGGTCATGTGTATGACTGCTCCGAGGCTCATAGTCCTGTATTATAAAAATGGATCCAATACATGGCTATACGTCGTGTTACTATGAGACAGCCATCACATCACCACCAGATGCAGAGCAAACCTGTCCAAACACAAACCAAGAAGTCAGATGTGGCGTGGCTGAAGTATAAGGGAAGCAAGCATGCAAAAGAATGACAACTGACAAGTGGAAGGGAGGAACGGAGAAAGGGAGGAAGTGAGGAATGCAGGAATGAAGGAAGACAGGAAGTGATGATGGGAGGAAGGGAGGTAGGAAGGACGCTTGGGGGAGAAGCAGAAGGGAGGGGAGGAAGAGGGCGGAATGGGGTATGACCGTATGGTGGAATGGTGAAAGTTGGCACGGGGAATGATGGGATTGGGGAACGAGGGATGGGGAAACGAGGAAAAGGGGATGAGAAGTAGGATGGCATGGCGGAATGGGGTGGGGCAGAAAGGGGTGGGGCGGAATGGGGTGGGGCAGAAAGGGGTGGGGCGGAATGGGGTGGGGCGGAATGGGGTGAGGCGGAATGGGGAGATGAGGGATGGGGAGATGAGGGAAGGGGAGATGAGGTATTTGGAGATGAGGGAAGGGGAAATGAACGCGTATGCGACGGAAGCGGAGAACGACTTGTAGGTCGAGGGGAGGGTGCGTGCGTGGGTGACGGGAGGGGAATGAGCGAGCTTGTTCGAGGGAAGGGAGGAGATGGGGTGAAGAGGAGCTAAGGATTGGAGGGATGGGTACAAGAGGGGACAGAAACTCTCTTGAAACCCGGGTGCTGATGCCACAATCTGCACAGCGGAGATGTGGAATGGGAGGCGAAGGCCGCCATCCCAAGCGCCCCTCCTCCTGCTCCTGCCCCAAACCCTAATCCAGGTACACTTTCCCCTCGGGATCTCCCCGACACTGTAGCAATCGCTGCTGCGGCTGCTGCTGCTGCCGCCGCCCCTCCTGCTCCGAACGAGTGCCTGGATGCAATCCCTGCTGCTGCCGGTGCCATGGCTGATGCGGAGGTTTGCCGCTCGAAACCTGTTGCCGAGGCTTGGTATGAGGCTTGGTAGGAGGCTTGCCGAGTGGGTTGGGAGGTGTAGGCAGGATCGAGAGGCAGGTTCCCTGAGACAGTGGCATAGATGGGGCGGGAGGAAAGGTGGATGGGATGGGAAGAGAGGTGGATGGGATGGGAGGAGAGGTGGATGGGATGGGAGGAGAGGTGGATGGGATGGGAGGAGGGATGGATGGGAAGGGAGGAGGGATGGACGGAGTGGGATCGAATGAAGGGATAGGTCTGATGGAAAGTGAAAACAGAGGCCACCAGCAGCACACACCCACACCCACCTGAGTGGTGCACGGACGACTCGAGGGCAGCCGAAATGAATTCAAGCTCCTTCAGCCTTGCCAGCCCCACTGCGCCCCGACTGCCTTCCCACCCCCCATTCCCCCCCCCAAGCAGCAGCAGCATCCCCACCCCCACCTGAGTGGTGCACAGACGACTCAAGGGCAGACGAGATGAACTCGAGCTCCTTCAGCCCTGACAGCCCCACTGCGCCTCCTGCTGCCGAACCCTTGCTTGTGGCGAGCTGTGGCACGGCCATCTGTGACATGTCCGCTAAGCCCTGAGATACTCGGAGGCAGGTGTATGGGGAAGGGGGGGAAGGGAGAAGGAGAGAAGAAATGAACTCGAGCTCCTTCAGCCCCACTGCCCCTCCTGCTGCTGCGCCCTTGGGTGTGGCAAGCTGTGGCATGGCCATCTGTGACATGTCCGCCAGGCCCTGATAGTGGATGGGAAGGGAGAGAGGAAGAGTTTGAGGAAAAGAGGACAGAGGCCAAGATTGATGCGCCCTTGTCTGTAGGGAGCTGTGGCATGGCCACAGCTGTGACATGCATGCCAAACCCTGGGGATAGGGAGGGAGAGGGAGAGAGAGTCAGCGTAAGACCCCTACCAAGATGACTATTGAGTCGACTCAAAAGTCAACTCCCTGGGGACAGGGAGGGAGAGGGAGAGAGAGTCAGCGTAAGACCCCTACCAAGATGACTATTGAGTCGACTCAAAAGTCAACTCCCTGGGGACAGGGAGGGAGAGGGAGAGAGAGTCAGCGTAAGACCCCTACCAAGATGACTATTGAGTCGACTCAAAAGTCAACTCCCTGGGGATAGGGAGGGAGAGGGAGAGAGAGTCAGCGTAAGACCCCTACCAAGAGCTTCGCCTGCATCCCCCCCCCTTCCCACTATACCCATTCACCCACCCACCCCCTCCCTCTGCTCACGAAGCTGCAGAGCAGAGCAGCAGCACAGCACCCCCCCCCCCCCCCCCCCCCCCCCGGTGGCGATGTCCTCTTGATCACACACCTTGATGAAATCGCCCCCCTGCGACACCTAAACCACACCAGCTCCCCCCATGCCCCCCCTCACACCTTCAATAGCTCTCGCACCCTCAATGGCTCCTGGTTGCCGGGGTTCCCCTGCAGCCCTCTTCTCACGAAGCTGCAGAGACAAAACCATTTACCGCATCATCTCCCTACTGCACCGCTCTCAACCTCCCCGCCCCCCATTGCACCTTCAGGAGCTCCTGGTTGCCGGGGTTCCCTTGCAGCCCTCTGCTCACGAAGCTGCACAGCAGCAGCACCCCCCGAGTGGCAATGTCCTGCTTCTGCTCGAGTGAGGCGAGCTTGGTATCCTGCACACACGGGGTTGCAGGCAGGAGGGTTAAAACAGGGGGGAAAGAACACAGGGGGCACATGGCGGAGACACATGAGAGCAGCAGCAGCAGCAGCAGCAGCAACCCCCGGGTGGCAATGTCCTGCTTCTGCTCGAGCGAGGCGAGCTAGGTATCCTGCGTGGGAAATGGCAAGGCATAGAGCAAAGATGATGGCAGCACAACACATGACATCGAGCACGCGAGATGATGGCAGCACGACACATGACATAGAACACATGAGAACAGTATCACGCGCGGGTGGCAATGTCATGCTTCGTGCTGCTCTCACGTGTTCTCATGGACGAGTGATGCGAGTTTGAAATCCCCACAAAGCGATTCTAGAGGCGCCTGGAATTGTGCACGAGCTGTGCAAGTTGAAACCCTCCTAGCAAAACATCCAACCCAATCACAACCCCCCCTCCTACTCACCATGCCCTCCACCAGGCCATACATGTTTCACACACCCGACTCGAGGAAAACCTGCAACTGCTCCAACAGAACCTCCAATCCAGTGCCTCTTCCCCTCCACCCCTCTTCCCCTCCACCCCTCTTCCCCTCCACCCCTCTTCCCCTCCACCCCTCTTCCATCACTCACCATGCCCTCCACCAGCCCATGCATGTTGTCCAGGTCTCGGCTCACAGAGGTAACCACCCCCTTCACCTCGATAACCTGTAAGGGACGAATGCAGGGAGAGAAAAGGAAGCTGGGCTTTAAGGGTCGACTCGACTCACACTGGTAACCACCCCCTTCACCTCGATAACCTGCAAAGGGGGAGAAGCAAAGGAGCTGGGCTTTGAGATTCGGGTTAAACAGCCTCAAGAAATGACTCGACTAACACTGGTAACCACCCCCTTCACCTCGATAACCTGAGAGGGACGATTGGGGAGAAGGGAGAGGGTTCTGGGCTTTAAGCGTTCAAGTTTCAGGTTCGAAGTTCATTACAAGTTGAGACTATGTGACTGTTGAGTTGACTGTCGTCAGGCAAAAAGTCACAAGCCCTTCCGACAAAAAGTAAAATGCAACGAGTGACTCACCAGGTGCATTCCACACTTACACGATACACACCCAGCTACTCCCTTTGTTACAATCACATCCTCAGTGAGTCACTCACGTCCTTCTTCATAACCGCCTGCATCTTCAGCCCCTCAGCCACCGACCTGGACACTCCCTCTCTTCTCTTCTCATCACACACCTAACCACCACCCTTTATACACAACACCCCCAGCCCCTCACTTGCTTCATTATAGTCACACCCTATATGAGTCACACCCAGCTACTCCCTTTGTTACAATCACATCCTCAGTGAGTCACTCACGTCCTTCTTTATAAAGGCTTGCATCTTCAGCCCCTCGGCCACCGACTTGGACACTCCCTCCCTCCGAGTCACACCTAGCCACCCTTCACACACACACCCTGCCCCTCGCTTGCTTCATTATAGTCACACCCTATATCAGTCACTCTCATCTTTCTTTATAACGGCCTGCATCTTCAGCCCCTCAGCCACCGACTTGGACACTCCCTCCAGCCGCCCCGCCAGCTGCTTCTTGGCCGTCTGCGTGTGAGGAGAGGACGAGGGAGAAGGGGGGAAGGAGGGGTCGGGACGGGGGAGGAAAGATTAAGGGGTTCAGGGGATAGATGTGGGGAAGAAGGGACACTCCCTCCAGCCGCCCTGCCAGCTGATTCTTGGCCGCCTGCAGGTGGGAAGTCTGAGCCGAGGGGGGAAGGAGGGGGGAAAAGGTGGTTAAAAGTTAAGGGAAAGGACACGGTGGCAGACAGTGGAGGATCATAGGATGGATGTGGAGAAAGGGGAAAAAGAGGCACTCCCTCCAGCCGCCCTGCCAGCTGCTTCTTGGCCGCCTGCAGGTGGGAATTCCGAAGGAGGGAGGAGTAGTTAGAGGGGTTAGGGGGAAGCGGCTAGTGCAGGACAGTGGGGGATAGATGTGGGAACAAAGGGAAAATCCCTCCAGCCAGCTGCTTCTCCCTCCAGCCAGCTGCTTCTTAGCCATCTGCAGGTGGGGGCTGGAACGGACACTCCCCCCAGCCGCCCTGCCAGCTGCTTCCCTAAGAAACAAGTCCCAGTCACGCACAACCAGAGCTGCTTCATGCCCTATCCCACTCACGCACGTTCGAAGCTGCCCGCCTGAAGCTCTACTCACATCGAGCGCTGTTTGCAGCTCCGTCACCTTCGCCCCCATGAGCTTCACTGCCTTCCCTACACAAAGAAACCACACTCCCATCTAGAGCTTCCTGGCTGGTGGTGCCTCTACTCACGTCGAGGGCTGTTTGCAGCTCCGCCACCTTCGCCCCCATCAACTTCTCTTCAATGCTCTTCCCTAAAACACAATCTCCCTAAAACAACCACAGCTGCCTGCGTGCACTTATGGTACTCACGTCCAAAGTGCCTAGGAAGCTCATACTCACGTCGAGGGCTGTTTGCAGCTCCGTCACTTTCGCCCCCATGAGCTTCACCGCCTGGTCCATGCCCCTCCTTGTGACGTACATGAGATCGCTCACTCGCCAGCCCTGCACACGGAGAGATGGCAGACAGACAGAGAAGACGGCAGGGAGGCAAGGGGAAGAGGGGGACGATGAACCCTCTCATCTTCGCCCCCATGAGCTTCACCGCCTGGTCCATGCCCCTCCTTGTGACGTACATGAGGTCGCTCACTCGCCAGCCCTGCACAGGGCGAGAGGGGAGACAGCAGGAAGGAAGGAGGGCACAAGAGAGCTTGCTACCTTGTCCCCCATGAGCTTTACCGCCTGGTCCATGCCCCTCCTCGTCACGTACATCAGGTCGCTCACTCACCAGCCCTGCACAGCGCGACAGAGAAGATAGACAGAGAAGATGGCAGGGAGGCAGGGAGCAGACGAAAAGGATCAAGTCCTCTCTTTACTGCCTGGTTCATGCCCCTCCTGGTCACATACATCAGGTCGCTCACTCGCCAGCCATGACAACACACGAGCCAAAGGAGACAGCAGGGAGGAAGGAGTAGGAAGTGGGCAGGAAGGGGGGAGGAAGGGGGCAGGAAGCAGGGAAGAACTAAAGGGGTTTATTGCCTTTTCCCCTAGAACCTTCACTACCTTGTCCCTGGGCCTCTTGGAGAGACAGCTTGCAGCATGCTACTCCATGCCATGCCATGCCACGCCATGCCGTGCCATGCCGTGCCATGCCAACACCACCATCACACACACACACGCACCTTCCACCACATGACCCCATAGCCTGCTGCACCAATGACTGCCACCGGTATCACATATCCCACAATGCTCCCTGCACACATGCCAAGCCCACAAGAGGACAAGAGGAAAATCAAGATATAGAGGGGAAAAAAAAAAAAAAAAAAAAAAAACGTACCCCCCTGACGAATGCAGCGTGCTGATTAGATGTGACAAATTACAGGCGACAACCTTTTACAAAACCTCCGTACCTTGTTGTTGTGCAGGTGGCGCGTTGACGACTGTGATTGGTCGAGAGCTGGTGGAGAGCTGCTGCATCTGCAGGCTCAGCTTGTGAACCTGCGAGGAAGGTTCCAATGAAATGGGTGCAGACGAACACAGATGAGATGATGATGACGTCAGATGCATGTCACCTGCCGTCAGATTCTAAGCTAGACATGAATCTGGGGGAGGGGGGAGATGAGCGAGGGGGGGGGTGGAGGAAGAGATTATGAGCAACATTCACCATACCTTGCCCACCAAAGCAGCAGCAATCATGTACCTGGTCGATCAATGCAGCAGCAGCAGCAATGGGAGGAGGCAGGGCACTTATACCTGGTCGATCAGTGCAGCAGCAGCAGCAGCAGCAGAAGAAGAAGACGCCGTACCTGGTAGGAGCCAGGACACGAGACGGTCACCGCACCTGGTCGATCAGTGCCATGTTGACGTCATCTGGGTGGTCCCTCTTGCTGTCGGATCCATTATCTATCGTCTTCAGGTGCTTCAAAACAATGTGCTTCGATACACTGTACCTGGTCAATAAATGCAGCAGCAGGAGGAGGCACCGTGCCTGGTAGCAGCCAGAGCAGGAGGAAGGACACCGTACCTGGTCGATTAGTGCCATGTTGACGTCATCTGTGTGGTCCCTCTTGCTGTCGGATCCATCCTCTATCGACTTCAGGTGCTTCGATACCACCTGCCCGGAACGAACAGGATGGAGAACGGGCAGGAGAAGCACAAAGGGCAGGAGGAACGTAAGGACGGTCAGGAGGAAAGGGTGAGGAAGAAACTAATGAAACAGGCGGAGGGGTGGGCGTGGGGAGGGGTGGTGGCTTATACAGGGGGGAGCTATGGCCAACTAAAGCGCGTAATGATCAAACAGGCTGCGAGGCGCCCGAAGAAGAGAAGGCGGCGGGGAGGGGGGAGAACGGTTGAGGGAGGTTCTTTCACAATGAAGCGCGTAAGATCGAGACAGGCGCGGCAAGTACGAGAGAGGGAGGGCCAGATCAAATGCGACAGGGCGAGGTTGTGAGAAGAAGATATCGTGAGAAGTTAAGTAGACTACCAGGAAAGATGGAAACAGAACAACCTTATAATCCGTCACGAATGATGACGATTACGCGTACAGGGATGGACGAGAGGCACGCACCCGAGTAATATCGCGAAGGAGATCCGCAAATTTGGCGGGACCGAGAATGCTTACACCCGCTACACCTGCGCGTAACGAATAACGAATACGAGCGTAAGCCGGCAGCCGGCGCAACGAATGGCAACGAGGTTGAACGCGGAAGAAAGAGTTCGATCGGGAAACGAGCTGCTCAGATCGATTCGTGTAAGAAGTCCAAGGCCCGAATCTGTATTAGAACTCCGTTGACCATATCGAGGAAGCCACAAACGAAGACAAACAAAGCTCGGATCGGAACTTCTCGAAGCTCGAAGCTTCTGGAAGGAGCAGATACATGGGAGGTTACGATTTTGACACCCCTTGTGTCGTCATAGGTCAGAGGTCTTACCTGCACCAACGAGCAAATACAACGTCAAAGGTTTGGTGGCCATTGTGTCCTCCTTTAGGAACCTCTTATAACGAAACCGAAGCCCTTTGTAAGTTTCGCTGCGAACAACCAGCTCCTAAGTCAGGATCTGCTTTCTAGACGGTCTAAACTACATGAGGACTTGGCCTGATTAACCATTCTTGATGCTCGTGGCGCTTCTACAAAAAGGTCCGAATGATTTCTTGCGTCAGGGTGCAGAAACGAAGACTACTACCAACGCGACGGCTTGAGCGGAGCTGATGAAAGGCTTCTACCTATCGAGCGACGGGTTGTCGGCTGCTCATCTTAGTTCTACGAACGGACCCTGTAACTAGAACGCCAATGAATTTCTGTGAGAACAGGAACAAGAAACACGAAAGCCGAGTCAGGGTGCTACGCTATGCAGCTGTCACGAAACCCAGCTTTGACGAACAAAGCTTCAGCATCATGTAGTTCTGACTCCTCCTGACACTAGTCGAATTGAAGCACCCGCCAAAACAGCTTCACCAGCTTCAATACAAACAAGCATTCTCTACTTGAATGGAGGAGGTTCGTCCCTCCAACTCGATGGCGATGGCGTGCTCGTTGACAATATTCCTTATGAGGATCCTGTTGCTCCAAAACGCGTATACACTGTACCGGGAATGGAACAACCTCGAGGGACAAGTTTGGACCAATGAAGCAGCAGCACTGGGTGGACATGGAACAAACTCCGAGGAAACAGCCGTTGCTGCGCGCTGCACTGCCACGTCGCGCTACAGTCAACTCCACTAAACTTTCTAACAGTCAGCGTTTGCTCACCTCACACGCATATACAGAAAGATGTGCAGTTAACCAACTTTCTCCATAATACAACACAAAATCCTGAGATTCTGAATGCAGACATACTTTGGAACTCTATACACACAATGTGTTATGGGCATCCTAAATCTAGATGCCACTCACTTCAATCATCCACACCTCCTCCAATGGGGTCTCTAACATCCAATAAGCCCTGGAGTCATGACACCAGACCTCCAAGCCCTCCCACACACACCCTTCCCACGCCCATCTCACAGACACCCCATTTCCACCACCACCCTTATCTTCCCGCATCCCCCATCAACCCTTCACGCAAGTCGAAGGGTTGCCCATGGGAAGAAATCCCGCTTCACACTCACACACGAACTTCTGGTCACTCCCCTCCAAGTGATTCAGCACACACACCCCCTTGCCCCCGCACTGCCCCTCGGGACTGCCGGTGCCGCAAAACTCATCGCACTCCTTCGCTGGCCGCTGCTTCTCCACTTCGCATGAATCCGTGGAGCTCAGGCAGTTATCGTTCACGTAGATGCTTTCAGGGTACTCGTACGGGCAGACTGTTGACATGGCAGGAAGGTTTTCCGAGCCGGGCAGCTGAATGTCCAGCGAGTAGTTTCCGTAAAAGAAGTTGCCCTCGAAATCCAAAAGAGACCGAAGCATGTAACACGATGTAGTGTCCAAGCCTCCGACACCGTTAATGCCGCAGCCTTTAGAAAAGCGGGGAAACTGAGGCAGAGGCCCAGTCAGGAAGTTGTCTCCAATTTTCACCGCGCGCGCCTTGTGCGAAAACAGTTTGAATGAATCCGGTACAAGGCCAGAAAACTGATTATTGCTTAAATCGAGGTTGACTAAACTGGGGAGTCGGCCGAGGAAGTTGGGAATCGGTCCGGTCAGCTTGTTCCCGCTAACGTCCAACACTTCAAGGCCGGGAAGATCCGCGATAGTAGTCGGCATCAGATCCGTAAACTCGTTGTTCTTCAAATCGATGACGGATATTTCTTGGCAGCTGCCGAGACTCCTCGGGATCTTCCCGTAAAACTTGTTGTTGCCCAGAAAGAGAGCCTGCAGCGACGTCGCGTTATCGAAAGCCTTGGGACGAATCTTGCCCGAAAACTTATTCCCGTCAAGACGGAGAGTCGACACCTTGGAGTCACTGGAGTAGAAAAACTCGATCCAGGGAACTTTCCCTTGCAACAGATTATCGCTCAAGTAAATATCCTGCAGTGACGGCAAACTCGAAAATATTCCTGTAGGGATGCTTCCACGAAGCCGGTTACCGCGTAAATCCAGCGTCGCGAGATCCTGAAACTTCGTCAGCTCCTCGGGAATTTCGCCTTCCAAATTCGCGTTCGGCAACTCCAAGGCCACGACGTCGCCGTCAGAATCTACAGTAACCCCCCACCATTGGTGCTCCCCTTCCGCATCCGACCAAGTCTCCGCCTTGAAGAAATCAGAGCCCCAGGCGGTCTTAAGCGAGAGAAGGGCCGCGCGCTGCGCGTCATTCGGCTGGATCGGCGCGCTTTCGGAATCGTACTGCAGGAAATCAGACTCTTCTGCCGCGGACTGACGCAGGAAGTCTGCCTGTTCCGCCTCAGAGAGATTCAGCAGCCCCTTGTCGTCTAAACCGTCATCCTCGCCGTTGTGAAGTCCGGAATCGCCGGTCAACTGAAAGCTGTCGCCGGGTGTTGTCGCTAGCTGCCGTCTGTCTGAGACGGCGGCGACTAGTGCGGTGCGAGGGAGCGAGAAGGGTGAGCAGAGAGCGAGAAGGGTGAGGACGGAGAGCAGAACCATTCGAGCCATGGAGCGAGTTATAGAATAAAACTCTCTCGTCTACGCTTGCACTATCTACCGAGGTCGTTGCCTATTGAAAGGTCCTTCGAACCTCCTACAATTTACTTTGAAATTTTGCTGAGGCGTAGCAATGCAGATGTTTCTCCTTCAAACAGACTTCAAACGAAAGCTGGAACGCGCCGCTCCAAGTCTATCAGGCGTTTGCACAAACCAAGTGAGGCGACTTTGACTCACTGTGGGCAGGCATGTGTGTGGCTGTGGAAAGGAGCGGAAGGAAGGAGCGGCCGTGAAGGGAAGATGCCACAGGCTGTCAAAAGAACTGACTTGTGTTTGGTAAAACGGTCGAGTACGATGCTGGGGATTTCGGAGGGTCTTGTATTGCGTTACCGTTTCAAAACGCAACGAACCTCTGAATTCTGGTGCATGAATCAACAAACCTCTGACGGTGTTCTCCTCTGTCTCCTCTGAGGCACTGGTCAACAGGCAGGGGGAACGGGCGATTGGTGCTTGCAAACCGGTGTGGGAGGAGGGAGGGACTGAATGAACTTGAGCCAGTTTCTGGCGAAGGTGATATGCTTCAGGAGATATTGCTGATGCTTCTTGGCGAGTCGCAGGTGTAAATGCGTCTCCGACGGCAGGAGGATTTGCGACATTTGGCGATGAATTTCCCAAACATGGTGTAGGGAAAGGCCAAGAATGTACGTATTCGCAGAAAACCCTACCCAACCATTTCAGTTTTTAATTAGACCGCCGAGAACAAACTCTAAACCGTTTTTAACCGCATCTGGACGTACTCTCCGGGCACGCCCCTGTACGAAGGTTACCGAAAGGCCATGTTACATCACCGTTCAATCGCCCACGCCCTGTGCTTGATGGCACGACACGTCGTTGCTGGCACTCACCCCTCCACCAGTTCTTCCGGCGTGGTTCACGTGTGATTCCCATCACCCCATATCAAGGATAAAAGCGACACTACACTTCAGTAGCATCAAAACAGTAGCCCATATTATTGAGTCAGTCAAAAACGAGAAGATTCCATCACTTTCTCCCTCACCTTGATGTGATTAGGAGGGAACTGGAAAAGCAGCAGCAGTAGCAAGTGCAGCAGCAGGACTGACAGGCTTTTTGCCTATAAGTTTGCCCGCCAAAACCGAAGGCAGATTTGCTGGTGATTTGCACAGCAGGCAGGTCCGGACAAGGCGTCATAGTCCTAAGCGAGCCTTTAGGGAAGCGAGCGTCTTCGACGTACCTTCGAGCGTACGACAGACTAAACGGTTCCGGTAGCGGTTGTTAAGCATTAAAAAGTGTGAACCCAGGT